TCTTCTCAGGGGCTCAGGAGCTAGTTGTAACCCGATTTTAATGGCAGACTAATCTAGCCTCCGAATATGACGATAAGGCGGGAATGTCTCTGGGTTGGTTTGGCTCGGTACGTTCAAAGATTGCTCTTGGATACGTTCCGGGTGATTCGCCCTGCCTTCTTGTCTTGGCTTTGGTTTCACGGTCTTAGAAGTATCCACCAGCTCTAGGTAATCTTCCAGGTGAGGTGTTACGTCTGGCTTTATACCCGTCTAGTCTACCTGATCGTTGGGCTGAGTAAAATTGCTCGCGAACCTCGGCGGGAAGAAGGAGAACGTATGCTATGATGCATGCCTTTACAGCTCTCAATCTTCTGAACCTTTGGAAGATTAGCATTCTCTTGAAGAAAAGCGGCTATACGACAGCAATTCTCGGTCTCGAAACGACCAAGCAGTCCTGAAAACCAAATTATTCGGGTAGATTTCGTAACCTTTTTTCTCGTGCTCACTAGGGATTGCAATGTCCCTACACGGAACTAGGCTCCTTTACATGTATTCTAACATGAACATCTGCCAAGCTGCCTTCCGACCAAGTTTAAGCAGATCGTATTGAAAAGAGAGGACAATGTTTCGATCTTGTGTGTTGGATAGGGTATCCGTCCTACTCTGGGTGTTCGAAGCAAGCAGCACCGTAATCTCAAGGTCGGTAAAATGGGCGACGGTATAAGCGTGTAAAGTCTTCAACATTTCAGTCACCTGAAGGAGTGCTACACGTTCAAGCCTGTAACTTGCAATAATTCTATTCGAGGGCTAAGATCTTTTTGTGGCATTAATTGTCTATTAGTGTTGTCATACAGGTAGCATCTCATAAACGTACTCAGAGTAGTATCTCGTATCGTACATCTCCTACTCTATCCCTAGGTATACAGCCATGCGTTACCCGACGAACCCCTGCGATCTCGTCCTCGTTCGTACAACCACTTGCTGTTCAAAGCCAACGTGCTCCTCTTTCCTCCAGTTGCCGGACTGGGGCTCGGGCTGTCGGGTACTCCCCCGTAGAACGAAGCGCCCGTGCTGGCGCCCATAGGGCTCGATGACCCAATCGAAGAGCGACGCGCGCCGTTCATGGCCTTCTGAAGTAGTGGGCTCTGGGGCGACCCTAATCCACCAAGGGTACCGTTTCCTCCTATAGGGCTGCCGTAGTTGGATGATGGACTGTGGGGCGAACCCGAGAAGCTGCGCTTGCTTCCTGCTGACCCGGAGATGGAAGGCGTTCGCGAGTATCGAGGCGGCGTGCTGTACACGGAGCCCGGGGTCGGAGGTGCGGAAGACGGTGGCAAGCCGAGTAGTCGTCGCTGGCCAGGGGTCAGGGGGATGTCTGAGAAATCATCCTTCGGTCTGAAGAGAGGTAGTAGGTTGGTGCCAATGTTGAAGAGAGGTATGGCGAGGATGGCCCAGTATGTGTATTGGGCGTACTTCCAGACGCTGTGGGTGTCAGTTTTGTTGGGCTCTCTGGTTTCCGAGTAGGGTTGGTACAGAGAAGCATACGACTGAGGTAATGATTTCTTGGGCGGGAGCACCCGCGCGAGGCAGGCGTGAGCTAGGATGCATGCTATGAGCAAAACGACGTTGATGGCAATGCGCTTGACATTCTTGTCCGTGAAGTTGCTGGCGTTCTGGCGCTGGATAATCTCTTGCAGGCGCGGGTGTCGCCACGTGCCCGGACTGTCTGTGACTGGTGGTGTCGCGGGTGTTGATTTCTTAGGCGTCGTGATAGCCGCCTGGGCTTTTGACAAAGACATTGTTGCGGTGACTGTCTCCTGTGTCCCGAGGCGGAGAACACAGAGGAATTGGCGTGGTGTCGTTCTGACTCAAGCCTGGTAATGTTCGCAAGCTGTTTCCTTGGATCGATCGCCCGGTTGTAGCTTGGATGGAATGTGAAGAAAAGAGAGAATTGCGAAACCGTTCCCAACGTGAATTTATGGCATTAAGATGCTGCTTTTACCTGGTTTTTTCGTTAGTAGTCACCTAAAGCTAGTATGCCAGCGCTGGGAGCGCAGCCCGTTGTTGTCGAACTTCGTCTAGTAAAGGTGGATGCCTCTCGCTTTGTTTTCTTTAGGGATGGGAAATGGTTGTTAAGGCCGTTGCGAAAACAACTCCCAGTGCTGCAGCCCTTAGTCATCAGATCTCACTAGCGCGATACCTAGGTACATCATACACGGACCCCCGGACATCACTCAGGGGACTGGGGGTGATTGTGGAGCACAGACCACTGTACCTGCTTTAGTAATTGGTTTACTTTTAGGCGCGGACAACTCCCAGCGTCACAGGGCTGACAGTTGTAAAGCCCCCACCAGCCATCCACCTCATCGGGGTGCCTCATCAACGGATTCATCTCAAAGACTCCGTTCGACCTTCCCTCAAACTCCCCTATCCTTCATATAACTCCGGCCGTTCCGTCATTTGATGGCCAACATTGTAGCTGGAATTCATTCGTCCTAACGATTAAGCAATAGATTAACTGAACTTTGATTTATTATTGGCGTTACCTACATATAAGAGCTTAGCTTATTCCAGCCAACATGAGCGCTGGTGGCCTCTTGAACCAGTTCGATGAGGGACTGAGTTCCCTCTTGGGCCAATGGAATGGCTACTCCACAGCCATCGCCACGGCCTTTGTGCTTATTCTCACATATGCTATTATGAACCGAGTGGAGCCTGATATCCATCCCATGCTACTGGCTCGCCAGGCTTCGGGTTCGGCGGTCCGGAATGAAGGGGAATCTCCCGTTTATCGCGGGAACTCTGCGCCCCACAGTATGCCGCTTAACGGCGGTCTGAACGTAAAGGATGCTGGTGCTTCAAAATGGGCTCCGGGTCGAGATGGGGACTTGAGAGATGTCTGGCGCCGAACTGTCTCCGGACCGCCGGAGGAAGATGGCCCGAAAGGGAAGGGCCGCATCATGACGGTGCTGGGAAGTGAAAGTGTCATCGAGCATAATCTCAGTATGGCAGTCTCCTCATTGGTTGTGAGATCACATAGAACTAACGAAACTCATTATAGACGACATCACCCGGCAAATCAACCTAATCGGACGGCATATCACCTCTCAAGGAGGGAGGAAAGTCGCCATCTATCTTCCCAACTCTGTCGAATTCATCGCTACTCTGTTCGCCTGCAGCTTCTATAACTTGACTGCTGTTCTATTGCCATTTGACCAGCCGGAAGACACCGTCATCTCGATGCTCCAGAGATCTGGCGCCGATACCGTTGTTACCGCACCGGGCGCTTTCCCATTCGACAACGCTGTTAAGAGCTATCCGGGTCTTCGTCATCTTATCTGGGTAGTCGACGAGGGAAACAAGCACCTGGACTGGAACGAGGTTCCTAAAGGCATGGGTGGAAGTGTCAATGTTTCTACTTGGCAAGACATTCTAAACGACAACCCCGTTGACGCTGGTACCGAGCTTCCCGAGGTCGACCCTAAGGCTGAGATCCAAGACGTTATTATCTTCTGGCAGTCCAAACCTGGCGATCTCGAGGAGATGGTCCGGTTCACCCAAGGTAACCTCGTCTCTGCCATCTCAGCCCAGCTCACCGCAGTCCCGCAGAAGGAGCGCTTCTCGCCAGCTGATCTCTTCCTGCCCTCTGCCTCTCTCTCGGCGTCTTTCCCTCTGGTCCTAACTCTAGCGGCTCTTTACTCAAACGCTTCCGTTGCCTTTAACTCTGTTGCTGGCACAAAGCCGGATCTAGCCCTAGCCACTGCCGGAGTCGCCCCTACCATCATCGTCGCAACGCCGCAACCCCTCAAGAAGACGCACGACGAAACCGTTAACAAAGTCGGCGCCTCGTTCCTCTCTAAGCTCTCCCACTGGATACAGACGCGCAGCCTTGTCCAAGATGGCGCTATGCCCGTTGCTTCGTTCCTCGCTTCGTACAACGACTCGCTACGTCCCAAGATCGGCACCGCACCCACCGCCACCCCCGGCAAGCTGCGCCTCCTGTACGTCGCAGACCCCGCCGGCGCCGGCGCTCCCCGCCTCTCGGAACAGACCTTGTCTGACCTTCGCATTTTCACCGGCGCACGCCTCGTCTACGCCCTGGCCGCGCCCCGCGTCGCTGGCGCTGTCGCTCAGACCCAAATCCACGATTACCGCGTCTCGGGAGATGGCACCGGTGCGCACTTCGGGCCGCCGATCAGTTCCACCGAGGTCCTACTACGTGACAGCAGTAACTACAAGATCACGGACGACAGCTACACCGGCGAGATCGTGGTCCGAGGACCCGCGGTTGCCGGGGGCGAGGCGGCGCTCGGCGTCATTGGGACTATGCGCGTGGACAACACGCTTGCTTATGTTTAGAAAGATAGAGTGCTGGATTGTAGGAAGTGTGCATGCATGCGGGCAGTAGGGATAGGATGGAATTGGTCTCCTTTACTGTTGGCTCTTACGTTACGTTAGCGGATGTATGGACTGTTGTCTTAGACACGCACTTAGGTATCTCTCGCGATCAATAGTATATTTTCAATGCCGTCTTAGACATGGGCTCAACCCTCTCGTGGATTCCATCATGATATATTTATCCCGTTCCCGTCGTATTTTCCATTCTAATTTGTGCCCCTGACGGACGATCCAGTATTCGTAGGATCAGCAGTGATGAGCGTAATGTCTTCTAACCACTGGTCGCAATCTCACGCAGCCATGGCACCCGCATTAGGTCATTTTATAAGTTGGGAATGAAGGCATAAATATTAATAGCTTTTCTATCCTTTGCAAGTACATATAACTTAAACGTCCTTATGATGATTGGTACGTGGGTAAAGACGCAGATACAAGAAGTACTTGAGGCTCTAAGAACTCCATTGAATGCTAGGATACCCCCTCCACCGTGCCTCGCACCTGCCGTACCTCCGTTCGTACCTGCCATCTCTACGGCACCCCTAGGTACCCAGGTACTACCATCAACGCGCAAGTGGCATATAATTTCTAATTGTCACTCGATCATTCAACAACAAATAGACAAAGGCTCGGTAGTCTACCGGTACCAATCCTTTCCTATACGCACTCACGGGTCTCTTGGACTAAGACCAGAACGTAGAGATAAGCTCGTAATGGGGAAGGTTGGCGTGGGTTCGAATCCCACCCGGGTCATCCTTTTTTTTTTTCGAGACGTCTTTTTTTTTTTTGCTATGCTCTCTTTAGTCACTCACGTCTCTCCCTAATGTCACTCACATTTATCCTCATGGCATCCTCTGGAGCCTAATAATCATACCCATCACCCCTATATAGTATCCTCAGTACTGGGGTTTGACTCCCTTGGCGGTCACTCGAAAATGCTTTGCCCAGTATCCTTTCTTCATGCAATGATTGAGACATGGTAGTTATTCAAAGTTATAGCTATGTCTACTATTATTCTCGTCCATTTATATCACGACTCAATTATATGTTAGTGTCGTAGTCTGTTATTTGCTCATTGTATTACACTGCAAGGCAGGCATTTATGCCATGTACGCTATCGACCATACCGACTAATGTCACGGTAGAACCAACATGGTTACATGGCTCCCCATACTCCATTGACTCGATTCCTAGTCAAGATGCTTGCTTGCTATGTCCAGTTCTCAAAAACTGTATCAAAAACACTGCCCCGAATAAGAAGTCGATATTCGATCGTGATCTTCATTTCCGCCATCGTTTCCAGAACTTCCACGCCGGCGCCGCCTCGCCGGAACTCGTTTCGCGCTTAGAGACTTGATCCCGACCCTGTATCCTCCAGAAAAACACCGGAATTCCGGATAAGACGAATGTAACAACGATAAGGGTCTTGAACGGCTGTGCGAATACCGCGCGGCTAAGGAGGAATAGGCTCACGCAGCAAAATATTATCGGTGTCGTAATCCAGGTCTTGTACGGCCTCTCGAGGTGGGGCTCTTTCACCCGTAGGATAATCAGACCTAGGACTGTAAGGAAGTAGAATGAGTATCCTGCCACCCCGTAAAAAGTGACAAGTTCCCCGAACTCGCCCACGACCACATAGATGCCAGTTAAAACGCCATTCAATACTAGTGCATAGATCGGTGTAAAGAAGAGGCCCGTCTCTTCATCGCCAATCATGTTGTGCAGTCGTTTGGAAAACCAGCCCCTCGTTCTCATCGTTGTCATTCCATGTTCCCGGGAGCGAACACCAACACGACCAACAACGGCAGGGACATAGCCCTCTTTAGCAGCGGCATAAACAAGCCGGCTACTTGTGAAAGTAGACGAATTGAGAGCGCCAAAACACGAGGCGCTGACGATGAGCGCAAAAATAAGCGCACCAACGGGGCCAAATACTTTGCTGCCAAACATTACGGCAACAGTATTGGTAGAATTGAGAACCTCCAGGGGAAGGACGAGAAAGTATGAGAAGTTGGCGAGAAGATAGCAAATGATGACGAGGGGCATTGCCGTATGAATTACGCGGGGGAGATCCCTGGAGGGGTTTCGAAATTCTCCCACTACATAGTTCGTCTGTGTTGATGTCCAGTTAGTATTACTAAACGGCTCGAGAGGTATTGACGATTCCGAGGAGCGAACTCACATTATCCCAGCCGTCATATGCCCAGAGTCCAGCATAAAGAGCAACCGCCCAATGACTCCCATCCGTACTCGTACCATCGAACCAGGCATGGTTCTTCCATTCCATGTTGGCTGTACCAGAAAAGGAGAATCCAGTAAGGGCAACCACGATGCCGCAAATAGTAACGCCAATCAATGCGATGAACTTCAAAAACATCAGCGTGTCGTTCACACGCGTTCCCAGCCTTGTTGATACGCAGTTTAAAAAGGTCACAACGAACAACCCGACCAGCCCAACACCCTTGTTGATCCAAGGATTCACCGTCTCGGCTTCGGCCCCGATGAAAGCGCGTACGAGATATTCGCCCATGATAATTGCGATAATAGCAGCGCTTCCGGGCTTAAGCACGAGGACGGCTACCCACGTAAAGAGAAAGCCGGCTAGCTCGCCCATGATCTTAGATAAATACGCTTGCGCGCCTCCATTGAGGGGGATGGCGCCGCCAAGTTCCGCATAGCTCGCTGCGCCCGTCCACGCGAGGACGCCAGATATTGCCCACACAATCAGGGATGCGCCAGGTGAGCCAACGTTGACGTTGACTTGGCTCGGGGACGAAAAGATACCCGAGCCTATTATCAGTCCGACGATCAGACCCAGCCCATTCAAGTACGTCAAAGTCTTGTGTTTTTCTAATGAAGGGCCACCGAGTCCACCATGCCTTTGTGCAGCCGATGTGGGTGCGCCCAATGGCGCATATCCGGGGGCGGTGGAGGAGGAAAGCGGGAAGAGATTCGCGGCATAGTCGAAATTGGATGTAACAGAATAGGAGCGGTCGTGGCGCGACGTAAAGTCGGAACGGCTCGCAGGATTGTTGCGGTCTAACGGGTCGTCTTGCTCGAGCGAAAGTTTCCGTGAGGAAGATATCGATGCTCTTGAATCTGTTTCTGAATAGGTATCGGGGCCACGACTAGAAGACGCTAAGGAGGCAAGTTCGAGGGAATCTCGAGCGCCAGTGTAGAGGGCAGACGAGTATTGAGCCGGCATCGCGGCCAGCTAAGGCTGTATCGACGTATATATGAAGTGATAACCTTAGCTAGTCTATTATATAATTCGTATTTGGGGAGACACCATGTCGGCTACCGAGTTATCGCGAAGCGTGGAACGAACTTCGTGGCTTTAAGGGAGCTAATGATGTCAGACCCCCAAGTAGCCAAGAGCACCTAATGAATGCTACTATGTATTGGCACGGGATCGGAATCGACTGCTAGAAAGTCGATGTTTATTCAAGCAATAAACAGTTTAATCGTGAAAAGCCCGAGCTGCGATAATACTCATAAAAAATTGATACTTGGCAGGGGGGAAATAATTATTAAGATTGAGATTGATCAGATACGGAAGATGGAACAATGAGATAGCGATGCATATTTCTGATCTTCCAGCGTCCCCACATTGTCCCTTCCCCTTAACTAAGGTTGAAGCTAATGTTGAAGAGGTCCGTGCACACAAATATGTGCCGCAAGTACCGAGTATACAGATGAGGCCACACTCTCTGTGGCAGTTTATGTATGAATCAGTTCTATTGTTATAGAAGGATAAATCTAGACTCTAGCTATGGGCTGATTTAGTTAAGGCTTTAGGGTAGTAGGCCCCGTTTATGCATAACGCATAACTTATGCATAACGTATAACATATATTATGTAGATCACTGTATATTACAACCTCCCTTTAAACGAATAAAAAATGTTACGTCCTCGCAACAATAAAAGTAAATCTATTTATATTTATTTCATTAATAACAATTATATACTTTTTTTATTTATATAAACTTTGATTAATATTATATTTTTTTTAATTATTTCTTTATAAGCCATTTATTAAATTCGTATTTAAGACTTTTATATTATATAAGATATTACTTTTTTCCTTTAATTATACAATCTTAAACAATACGTTGTTTAACATAATTTTTTACTTATATAAACTTAATAAATAGCAATTATTAACCATATAAATTTATTAAGGTTAACTTAAAATAATCAATTAATATTATATTATAAATTTTTACGTTATAATTTTTTAAATTTAATTTATATGTTAATGTATCGATTTGTTTAATGATTTTAAATAATTTAACATATTGTTAAGTTATTTTATGTTTTATATAAATGATTGTTAGTATTATATATTCTTTATAAAATTATAGTAAAACATGATTTTTAATGTAAAAATATTTAAATTAATAAGCCTTATTATAGTAATATTTTATTATTATGATTGTTGTTACGATAACATTAAATGTTTTAATATGTATAACAAAAAATAACACTTTACGTATTTTATTGGCAATCAGGTTCTTATTAATGAAAATTTGTGTAATTTCATTAAGTATAAAACCAAAAATTAATTCATTTAATAATCATTTTATTATCAAAAATAATATATTATTATATTTAAATTAAAAATACAATAATATGTTAAATCAATTTATAAAATTTTTTATAACATAAATATAATAATAAAACATCGATTATATCATTTAAACCATCACTTTAAATTATTTGTTGGTTTATAAGTAATATATTACTGTATACAAAAACTTAATTCTTACAAATTTCCACATAATTCGTTAAAGGGTTACTAAAAACTTAAGATTTTTATTAAACACAATTCGCTTAAAAAACCCTTAATTTGTGGTTATTAATCTATTTATTAATACTTTATTTCAATCTTTAAATATTTAATTCTTTTTGTTTAGTATAAGTTATAATTATTTAATTAATTTGTAAATTATAACTATTGCTTGATTAAATCCTTTTTTCATCATAAATAAAACCATTATAAAATTCATTATAATTTAAAAATATAAATATAATAATATAAACAATGGTTATAAATTATTATAAAACTTATACTTTTTCAATTAAAATAATTAACATTTTAAACAACTATTAACATATTTTTTCAATCACTTAAAACCTTAATAAATACAAAACAATTATAAATAATAGAAAAGTTTTTTGTAATTAATATAATTTTGTTTATGTATCATTTACTAAAAATTAGATAAATAAAATCTTAGGATACATAAACGATTTATCATTTCATTAGTTTTATTCTATAATAAATTATCATAAATATAAAAAGATAATATTATTTAATTTTGTTAAAGCAATAATACATTCTTACAAACTATTTTAAATATATATTGTTAATAAAGATTTTTATTATATTCTTTCTACAATTATTAACAAAAGTTAAAAAATATTTAGATAATTATTATTATATCTTTTATTACATCCCCAACAAAAATATTAATATCATTTTCGATAATTTTTACGCAAAGTTTTATTAATGATAAAAATTTTTTAAAAACTTAAAAAATCTAATATAATGCTTAATATTTATTACAATTATTTAATAATACATTAAATCCTTTAAAATGGTTATTATTAAAATCTAATAATAACAAGTTTCGTAACAAATGATTAAAAATATTAAGTATTATATAATATTATTTTAATTTATATAAAATTTAAATATTCTATTTATTAATATACTTTAATGTTTTGATAATGTAATTATTATTATTATT